TTCTTCCCTTGGCTTCACATGCCCAATCACATCTCAATTCCATCCAGAGTTTCTCATTGACTTTATGCAAAATAAAAATTTAATAGAAAATCAGTTTTTAACAATCATATTTTATCTTTAAAAACAAGCAGCCAACCAACCTAAGTCAGTTGTACCTGTCGTATACTGTATGGGGATCGTGAGCACCTTGTTCTGGATTTGTGCAGCTCAAAGCAAGGACATAACTCATCAAGAGACTGCTGAGGGTCCCTGGGTTTCCCAAAACTGTAGAGGAGTATTTGCAACAGTGGCATCAGCAGTGTTAATGTCCTGAATGGAAGTATGTAACATCAGCAAATGGTGTAAGAGGGAAAAGTCCCAGCTCCAAAATTAAATTAAGAGTACATTGCTGGATGATGAGTCAATGGACAGAAAACCACCAGAGATACATGTCAAGAAATGCATGTAAAAAGTTAGCTCTGTTAGGGTTTTTTGGAAAAGTTTATAAAGGAAATACTGTAACTATAATTGGCTTAGTAAAGAAGGATTAAAAAGGGAGAACTGACAGTTAAATTACAACTGCTTAGGAAAAGACTATTTTATTGAGATATACTGAAGCAGCTTGAGATAGTAGGAAAACACTTACCTAAACTGCAAGATGCATTGCTGTGCTGGAGAAGTCCATAGTAGGTGAACCACCTTGGCATGAGATTGATTTGAAGTACATAGTAGCATATATGTGTATATATGTATGAAATGCAGTTGCTGTATTTAAATTTATGAGAGTTCATTTACAGTATTTGTAGTCCTGAGGTTAGATGAATTTCATGTGTTTATAGGATCAAACTTCCATACTTGCTTGCATGAAGTTTCATCCCCATTGGACAAATCTGAAAAACTGTGGAGTATCAGTGGGCTTCCAGTTAGCTCATTGACCATCATGTCAAATATGTAAATTGGTAAGATTTAAAAAAAAAAAAAATCTGGATGCATCCTGTGCAGTCCTCTGAGGTCCTCACTGACTTTGGCTGGGAATTCCTGTGGATGTACTGGGAAGCAGATACAGAGACAGAGTTTGGGGAATGCTAATGGTTTGCTTTTGCAGTAGAGAAAAAGTGATGATGGTCCTCCCCACCTAGCACTGAAGTGATATGAATTGCTGTGATTACTGTGGTGCAGAGCTGGGCAGTTCCAGATGGAAGAGGATAAACTTACTTTACAGTCAGTGGGCAGGGTATGGAAAATTATGGGTCCTGCATAGCTGTAGCTTGGCAGTCGTCCATGTCAGTAGTATTTTGCATTGCTGTGTATGCTGTTAACACCTTGGTATATATGAATAGTGTGGTCACACTATAGCTGCTTGGGGAACTATAACTTGAACTGTGTAAAACCTATTTATGTGATTTCCATGGAGACACTTTTTTTTTTTTGCCTTTGGAAGACAGTTAATTAGAGTAGAAAGGTAGGAAAATAAAAGGCACAAAGCTATGCTTCTCTCATCCAGCTATGAGTTAGCTTACCTTTTTAGTTATGTAGTAGCTTGAATAGGATGTGAAGGTGATACAGAAAATACCTCAGCAGGAGCATTTCCACATATTTGTATTGCAGCCTCCAAAGATGTTTGGCAAACCTGGCAGTTTCTCTGCTGCTGACTCACTTTGAGGGGTAACTGCTGTGTAGTACAGGTCAGGGAGAGCAGTATTTTAGTAGACTTGATGTGCAAATTGCCATGACAGCATTTGGAGTTCAGCTTACACCTGTACTTAAAAAAAGCATAAGACAAAAAGGAAAATATTATAATCAAAGATTTCTGCTTTTTACGAGGGCTCAGCTAAGAGCCCTGTTAAATTACCCACAGGATCAGTGGATCTTTAATAGCTTTTATCATCTGTTTAGTTTTGTCCTGTCTAATGCTGAGCAACACATTAATTACCCTGGAGATCTTCAAGCAACCTAAGAAGACAACTTCACCTGTACTCTCATCCATACTTGAAACATTCAGGGAACAGATACTTCTTCTGAAGTAGAAGAAGAATGGGGTTTTTTTTAAAGTGTTAGTCTTACTGTCAGGCCAAAAAGTGTAAACATTGTTGACAAAAATTTGATGTCAGTCTGTTTCATCATTTCTGTTAAGACTGAATGTAGAACAGAAGCTATGTTAATAAAAAAGAAGAAAGTCCTTCATACCCATGAAGTACGTGAAGCATCATTAACAGAGTTGGTGTTGTCCAGAGGGGAAGTCTTGGGACACTTGTAATAAGTCAGAGTTAGTATCATATGGAACAAATTTCGCACTCTTTTTACTTGGAGGATCTTTTGTAGACAGTCACAGGCAACAGGGCTGCAAAATGAACCTCACTGAGCTCTGGACAAGTGGAAAATGGAATGAAGAACGAGCAATCCCTTCAAAATTATCTGCAGCCATTACTTTGCCTTGTAATATCCCTCCTCTATCTGATGTTTTCTCCTTTCTAGGTTAGAGCAGTCCTACACATCATGCGACCCATTCTCATTGTAGAATCATGGCAACTTCGAAATGACTGAGCTGATGATATGCAATAAATCTTTATGCCCTTTATGGCATCCCGTGATCCCTTTCAAGAACTGGTGCTTCAACATGTTCCTGGAAAAATGTGGAAAGTAGCCAGTATGGCAAACATACGGTTTGGCTGGGAAATGTAGGTGGAATCTCACCTGCAGACAGTAAATATTACTATTCTAGAAGACAATTTGAAATGGCATAAACTACCAGCAGTTTCACCTTCCTTAACAATGCATAAAATGTTGGGGTTTGTGTGTGAGGAACTGAGAAGAGGACACAGTTGGTATTCTGATGATTTTCTAGTGTGGATTTCCATGTCATGTCAGGGGTTTTGACTGAGAGTAGAGGCAAGGGACTGTGGCAGTACCCTCCAAGACTGCCAAGTGAGTTTTGACAGGGTTTATATGGCAAACCTGCAGTGTCTACAGGAGAATTTTCAGGCTGGTAGCAGGAGTAGGTTTCAGATTGAGCATATTAGTTGACAAAATGGATTTTGAAGGTCACTGTGTTAAACTGAGGGGTCTTTGCCATGAGCAATGGAAGTGACAGCTTTCCTTGAAACGACTGCCAGCCACAAGCTGTAAAGCATCCAGCAGAGAGGTAAAGCAGCTAGAGAGAATCATTTCTCTCCTCACAGAATAAGTGTCCCATCAAGAAAGCCCATGTTTGATCATCTGCAGGCCACTTGGACACTAACGCTGGCACATAAAAGCAGCCGTTGAGCTTTGTGGTTTCTTGGTTTGGGGTATTTTTTTTCAATATGGAAAAATTAAACCCCCTGCTGGCAAAGCCTGTCTTAGTGTGTACTCTGTCCATTAGCTCTTGTTATTCCATCAAAAGCCTGACTTTCACCTCTTCTTGCATGCTTTCTCCTTAGGTCAAAGTAACTGCATCTGCCTTTCAGTCTTTGGCTGTCAGACTGAGCTGCGCTGTTCTGCACCTTCTGTATCACTGTCTTCCCCTAAACTAATGCTGGACTTTCCTAATGAAAGATAGGTTGGAGTTACCTAGAAGTCCAGGGTTTTGTCAGAGCAATGTAAACTTCTGTATTAGCAGAAAGTAATTCTGAAATTCTCCTTACTGTTGGCAACTGGTTTACGAGTAAAGGAATGTTTTTCATTTATTTACATTACCAGGGACTCGGTGAGTTGAGCTTAGCAAATCAGCTATGTAATACTTTTTATCTGTGGAGCACTTATTTGCTTAACTGGCTATATATTTTTACTTTTTAATGTCCAGCTGTAACTGTGAGTTAGAGTAGCACTTTATTTATTAACGTATTAAATGGTTTAGATACACTGAAGTAGAAGATAAACTAAATGTTGTTTCTGTCCAGAAGCATATTTGTGAGGTGAGTTGTCCACTGGAGGTGGCAATAAGAGGCTCTGTAGCATGGTTGTTTGTCATTGCTGGGATGTCAGGACCTTTTCCACGGTAATGAAACTGAATGAATGGGAACATCTGCCTTGCAGCTGAAAAGTTGCTTGATTCTTAGTAACTGTGCATCAGCCAGGGTCCATTGCACTACTGAGATGTGAGTTGCTGGCTGCAGAAGAGGTGTGCCAGTGCAGCTCAAGTCATGTGTGTCTGCTGATTGGTCTCCATCTGAACTAGGCTCCTAAAATAAGTATTGCTTTACCACTGAAGCACACCAGGCTCCTGAGAACAAACCTGTAACTTTGCACAGTGCTCTGCTTCTAACTTGTCACTCACCATGATGTAGACCAAAGATGTAAGTTGCTCACATAGACTCATGGGTGGAGGAGCTCGTTGACAGCAGCCTTCTTTTATGTTGGGGTTAGAAAGCAACATTTCATTAGTTTCATGTCACTAACTGAAAAGACTGCAAAGGACAGGAAAGTGTTCTTCTGGCAGTTGCACTCCTGTAGAGGGTAAGTGGTTTCCTCCATTGCTCATTTGCTAGTGGAGAGATGCTCAGCTGAACACGAGCCAGAAATGGAAGTGGTAATCATTAAACAAGCAAATCCACCAGTTGTGCTGTCCAAAGAAAATCACAGCAGAACATACTTCCAAACCCTGAGAGGTGCTGATTCCTCTGTGGAAAGGGAGGAGGACAGACTCAGTGCTGTGGCATGTGGGTGCTTAGCATCTTAAAGCATCTCACGTGGTCAGTGCAGAATTTGTGCGTCTGGGCATGGGAACTGTGATATGCAGATTTCTCCCCTATCTGCGAGGCTGTTCAGACACAACACTGAAGTGTGATTTGGACATTCAGAGTAGCAGATAGTGGTTAACTGTTTTTAAAAATGGGTCAAAAGTTGCCATTTTCCCTCTGGGTTTTTTTTTGTGGCATGTTTTGTGTTCCAGCAGTTGAGAAAATGGGTGTTGAGATTAGTAATTTTGGGTAATTTGAAGATTCCTTCTAGTTAATCAATTCCACAGGGAAGAAAAGTTTTTCACGTGTCAGTTGCCATTGCTTTTTTCTTTTTGTTTTGTTTTGTTTTGTTTTGTTTTTTAGGTGAACATGTTTGTGGAAGGATTCCATGATGCTATTCTTCTTTATGCTCTAGCTTTACAGGACGTCCTGAACCTTGGTTTCAGTAAGAAAGATGGGGAAAAAATTGTTCAGCATACACGGAACAGAACATATGAAGGTAAGAGTTAATATGGAATTCCACCTTTAAGAATCAAAAAGTTTCAGGTCTTTGTGTGCAAGGGGCCTGTGCTTGGTCTGCTCTTGAATGAGAGCAAAATAACCAGATGAAACCATATACATCTTCAAGGCTGGCTCACATACCTCACCAGTCTGACTTGGTCTTGAGGTCTTACTCATCTCAGAAAACTCCTAACAATTTAACAACCCTCACTGATGTTGTAAAGAAACACCAATAATTTTCTCAGGCTCCTTCTTTGTTTTTGAAAAGATTACAGCTGCTCACTTTACTCATGTGCATCTATTAGCTCTGAGATTGCCTCATTTTTTCCATTTTACTTTTTTATCTTAAAAGCCTGGGAATGGATAGAATCGAGCAGGTGCCAGGGTTTTTTCTGTTTTTTTTTTTTTTCTTGATGAGGCTCTTTTGGGCCCTAGTAGGATTTCCCAACCTCCTTTCAGAAGCTGTGTGTGTTATCTCAGAGGCAGCAGCTGAACAGGACTGTACCTTTCTGTGCCTAATCCTGCAGGCTGCAATTCTGCAATGCAACTGGGATTTTTATGTCACCTTGCTGATGCAAAGCCATGTGAGTGCTTTTGCCAGGCAGGGATCATAATAAAGAAAACGAGGATTATTGGATGCATCTGTCATCTCTTAGCACATGTCTTATAATACTCTGATCTTTTGATGTAGGATTGGCAATGTTTCCCATGGAAATGCCTAGGAGAAGGAAGAGTTTCCCCTAGCTAAAAAGGAAATTATCAGTTTGAATGTGTAAGAAGAACCTCGGTGGCCAGGCTCTCTGATCTCAGGACACACTCGATAGGGCAGCAGAAGGCAAGAAGGACAGCAGCTGCAAACCTCTTTCCTGTTCTGAAATTGTGGCTGAACACAAGGCAAAAGGGTCCGCAGGGCAGCTTAAGGCAACACAGAGATTGCTTTAAATTCTCCTGGCTGCAGTCATCCCATAAGGATCCCTGCACCAGCTGGGGATTGTGCTTGATGTCCCACTACATCCCTTCACATCCATGGTTTCCGAAACCACACTGTTCTAACAGAGAGAATCTAGTGTCTAAGGATTTGCCGCACTGGTTGATTATCCTGTATATGAACAGATGCCCCAGCATGGCCTTTGTGTTTTTTCTCTATTCCCCTGCTTCAGGAAGCCACCAGCTGGTGTGCTGCATGCAGGTTATGTGGTTGATTCTCATGCCTTCCTTGTAGAACCATCCAGGAGGCAAAAAATGTTTTCCTCCCCTCTTGTGAAGACCAGTTTGTTTTTTCTGTCTGACCTGTCACAGCTATTCTGAAAATGTAGCTGCCAAGTTGAGCTGTGAGGTTGCAGTTGGAAAGGTCAGAATGCCATGTGAGTCATATGCCATCTCCTCCCTGTGGCAGTACTTTGCTGGACATAATTCAGAAGGATAAAACAGATTTTGAAAGAGGCCTTTAACTTGGATGTCTTACAAGCGAGTCCTTTTAAGGAAAGTTGCACCCCTTTATTCTGCCCATGGGCTCCTCTGTGAGATCGTTGCAGCGTTGCAGGGTACAGACCATGCATACGCTCAACAGGCTCTACTGCAGGACTGAAGCTTTATAATTCATTTAAACTGTTGCAGTCTTGATGATGAGAACTCCAGTTTCATTAGTGAGACTGGTTTAACTGCTGACATATAGATACCTAATTGCCTGGATCCTTCATTTTAGAGCCTGCTCTGAATAGGTTACCCATCAGAACTCCAACGGAATGTGGCTTTTGTTTCCTGTAGTGTTCACAGTGTGCCAACCACAACTGCACAGGCAACATCATGTGCTTAGGAAGGGATAAGGCAGAGGAAATCAAAAGGATTATTTTATTGCTTGGGTTGTTAGAAACACCCTGGTATGGCTACAAGGCACATCTTGTGGTGAATATTTTCTATTCATTGGCATTGCCTCCAAAAAATCAGCAAAATTTTCTGTATGTGGGCATCTAAGATAACAGAACAAAAAGACAGTCCAGATAAAATCCCTCCACCTTCATCCAAATGCTGTTCTTCATTGAGGTAGTTTCAGAATTTCCTAAATGCACTTACTAAGTCAAAACATTGCAGGAAGTGCCTCAAACATTTGTTTTGATTCAGATGGAGAAGGTTAAAATTAGTATTCCCCATTAATGAAACAAAAAATAAAACAAAGCCTGAATTTCAACACATTTTAATACCTACTTCCAAAAATTTACTTCTGGCTTTCTTAGGCCAGGAGGATGTCTGTTCCAACTAATGTCTTCTGTCAGATCCAGAATCCCAGTTGGTGTGTAGGCAAGGATGTTGGAGTTCTCTGTGGCAGCCTCTTCCAGTGCTTTCACAGCCAAGTGGTTAATACATCCATTCTGTTTTCCTGCAGTAAGCAGATTGGCAACTGTTTGATTACTGTATTGTTGTAATGAAACAGATACTTGACAGTAATCATTTGATGACCACTACATGTGTTGAAAGTCATGGAAAGTTTAAATATTTCTGACATCACTAAATGGGAACAAAGACAAGATAAATGGAGGTGTGTTAACCTGTTGCATATTTACTCTCATTAGGTGTGTTGAAGGGAGTTTATACTCTGGCTGAATATCTGGCCTCTCTCCTCTGATTTGCAGTCACTGAGAACATGTTTCTCTACTGCATTGTGCCTGAGCCTGTCATGTAGTTGGTGTAATTTGAATGTATAATGATGCCTGTTTGACTTGCACTGATGACAATGGCTACGTTTGGTGTCAGGCAGTGGAGGATCATTTCTGAGAATATCTGAGGTGATAAAGCATATCAGCAAGGTCTTACAGTGTGTTTGTCATAGTCAGTATTGTTAGATGGATTTTAAGAACCTGTTTGACTCGCACCCCATGAAGTTGGAGCTGAATATAAGGAAGTGTTTATTCATGATCATGGCTGGGACTTGTTGCCCCCAAGAGTTTGTGCTGTCTCTGTACTTGGAGGTTTTAAAGACTGGATAAAACCCTGAGCATCCTTCTATTCTGACCTCCTGGCTGATGGTTCTCCGAATGGGAGGTTGGACTCTAGACCTCCTGAAACCCTTTCAAACTTGAGTTATTCTCTGAGTCTATGATTCCCAGCTTCCTTAAACTTTCCTAGAGCTTGTAAGGGAAGGAAGTGAATTGGGGGTCTAAAACTACAAAATGAACAGCACCATATTATGCAGCAGATCCTATGTAAATGAACACAGGGCTTAATGGACATGTAGTGTACATGGTAGCCCTTGACCATGTCCCCTCTGTTATGAGGTGGCTGTATGGATATGGGTACATCAGCTCTGTCAATCTGTGGGGAGTAGTGCTGTGCCCCTGCATCCTCTGAAATGGCTTAGGGTCTGTAAATAATTCATGTTAAATATATTTGTGTTTTATTCTCACATGCTGGCTTTTGGATTAGATTTTTCTCACATATTCCCCAAACAGTCTCACACATTTGATATTTAAAAAGGAGAAATGTTAAGAATTCAGGAATGCAGACACCAAGATGAAATTACAATTTCTTTTGGAATGCCAACAAAAATGCTGGGAGACTGATGAGATTTCCTGTCATATCGATCTGTGAAAACCTGTCTACTGTTTTCTTGTTTTCCTTGGAAAGGTTCAATATTTTAACTACTTAATTTTCTAATTCTTCACATGCCATTCTTCAGGCATTGCGGGGCAGGTGTCCATTGATGCCAATGGAGACAGATATGGGGATTTCTCTGTGATTGGAATGACAGACCCAGAGGCAGGCACACAGGAGGTAAGGAAACAAACACCATTGGCCCCTGATGAATTAGCCAGTGTAATGTAGTGTGATAGCCTCTGTTTACCTAGTGGGCATCTGCTTATTTAACATACACATTAAATCACGTTGCTTCATCTTATCGACCTGGAAACCAAATCCTTTCTGTAAAATAATTACCTTGAAGTACCTATCCTAAGGAGTTTTTAAACATTCTTCTTTTCTGTAACAGTGTGTGTATCTTTGCATTGTGCTAAAATCATTATAATTTAAAGATTAAAATATCACAAGCTAGATAAACACTGATAAATTTTGAATATGAGAAAAGCTCAATGCCTCTTTAAAAGCATGAATACAGTCTAGTGTGTTCTGGTGTGTAAAAGTGACTGAAAAACTAGAGCAGTAAACTGCAGACACTCGCAGGGGCAGGAGTAATCATCATTTATTGAAGCTACGAGTACAAACTGGTTGGGATAACTTTGGTTTGAACCACTTGTATCTCATCTGTTGGTTCAGTCTCATTTATAAACTCAAGTCTATCTCATTTTTCAACTTAATACCCCTCTCATACCCTTCCCTACATTTCTCTCTCACTTAAAATTTAAACTAGATTTTATTTCTTTGATGTTACAGTTTCTTCTTTTAACATATTGCTCATTTTAATTTCCCTCTGTTTCATGGTGTATGTAAATATACATGAAATTAACATATTTTACATGTGTTTACTTATTATGTATCTGTTTAATTAATTTCTACCCCAGTGCTGCACTCTGTTGTTTCTTTGATGCCTTGTTTTATTCATTTTGCCATTTTTTTTTCTGTGTCCATACAAGAATGTTCTCAGCTGAACTGAGCCAGATGAATGAGTGTTTGGGCAGAGCTGTTTTCCCATGACCATTCACAGAGTTTAAAGATAGAAAAAACACCAGATTACCTAGTTTTATCTCTGCTGTATTGCAGGCAGACAGATGTTTTTACCATTTTATGGAGGCCTCTAGTTTACACATGACTAAAGCTCATAGTAACAGGCATTCATTTTCATTTGGAGATAGGGAAGAACAGGGACTGCCTTACTTGCTTCTTGGATGTTTGTTCCACTGTTCAATGATTCCTGCTCTTTAAAAATTGCTTTCTAGTATTTGTTCTTCTTAAGCATTTCTGCATACTTTCATATTTAGTAAGCCCTGCTGGTAGAGGACTCTCACACTTCTGTTTGATAAATAAAACAATCTTTTAATGAATAGTCTGCTACCTGCAAAAGATTAAAAAAAAAAAAATGCTCTCTACTCGTTCCCGTTTACTGAATTTACCTTTATTTTTGAAAAATTGTTAAACAAAGTCTTTTTTCTAAGGGTGTATTTCCTTGTTGCAAAACTGGGAGCCTCCTCTATTCAGTGTTAAATCTATTTTTTTGTATCTAATCAGAGCAAATGTTAT